TAGTGATATGAAAAATCCTTAACCGGTTAAGAATTTGAGGAAAATTTGTTAGAATTTCCTTCAAAATAATATATTATGGATGTTGTTTTATTTTTTATTTTTTATTTTTTTTTTGTGAATGCATTTCTAGCTGAAGAAAACAACCTCTCAGATGGAACTGAAGTCGCCAAATAGCCCCCAGCTTGTACTTATAGGTTTAAGTAAAAGTCAATTTCATATTTTGTGTTAATATCAATTGTTTGATATCGAAAGAAGTATTTTTTTAATCGTTATTTTCCTTGGTTATTTTTATCAATTATTCATCAATTTTTTGATTTATATTATGAAGTTGTTTTATAATAAAGCAAGAAACCAAAAAGGGCTCAATAACTATTTAAAAATAAAATCGTTCTTTATCAATAAGTGATGCAATTAATTAAATTTTCATAAAAGATCAATTATAAAACCAACTATAAATATCAGACCAATTTCAGATAGTAAAACCTTTGTTTTGCTCTCAAAAAATACAAGGGTATTCATATATGTTTTTTGTCTTTCAGTTCCGTTATCTTTTTCCTAATACATTATAATTATTGGTTGAGCATTTTTCTTTAAAAAGTTTTTGATTTGAATTTTCTCCTTTGTAATTGGCAAAAAAAACCAAAAAAACAAAGTGATAGGTGTAATTCACTGATGCGTAATTTACAGGACCTGATGGCAAATATTTGAAGGTTGTACGATTTCTAATAATTTTGGAGAAAAAAAGTTTAGGAACAAATATAAGGGTTTTTGAGCTACTAATGATTCTAATGATTTTCTTTGATTGTTTTTTAAATTAATCGACAATTCATTTTTTAGTAATAATTCAATTAATATTAATGCAATAAATTCAATTGAAAATTGGATATATGGGGGAACGCTCTATATAGGAAAACCAGGTTTATTAATATAAAAAAATTTTTTTTTGTGTAAACAACTAATTAAATTTGTTACACATATTAATATACGAAGTACGTATTCATCTTTAAAATTTAATTGATGATTTATTTACATTAATTTTATGATTCCTGAGCATACAAAATTCATCTGTGATGCAAATTTTGGATATATTAAAAGTAAATACAAAAATAGAATTATAAATATAGTTGATGATGTTGAAAAGGTGATAAATGATTCAGCGGAATGTAATAAGCCTGTTAGATATAATAATGGCTTGAATTGGAGCTGGTATAATTTTACATTGTTATTTGAAGGGCATTTCTGAAGTCTTCCAAATATAACAAAATATTATCAGTAGTTTACCAAATGATATTGGAAAAGTTTATGTTTCCAAAAAATCAGGTGGCACAGAAACTTCTTTTAAACTTTTAAAAAATGATGATTTTGATAAAAATAATCAATTAGCCCTACTTGAGGTTGCTCCATTAACAAAAGATAAAAAAATTTATTGGTATAACAAATTTGTCGGCATGTAGGCCCAAAATTTAGAGATATACTTTGCCCCAATCCTAATTAATTTTACATAATAATTTTTAAACAATCAAATACTTTATTGGATACTCAAAATGGTAAATTAATACTAATGACAAGCGTAATAAAAATTATGAATTAGTAACACTCTATGGGGTCTCCGTGACCATTAAATTTATTAAATTAATTATGAAATGTGCAGTATGTATATTATTGCTTTTTTTAAATTTTGATTTTTAAATTCGATTCAAATAAAATTTTGGTTACCCCCAAGAATTTATTTTTGTACCAAGTAAACCACATCTAATTTTTTCACAAATTATAATGTTATAGTTTAATATTATGCAAAAAAAATTTTTGACCAAAAGTCTCGATTTTCCTAGAACGCCCTCCATATTTGTTATACAAAATATGTACAAGTCAAAAATTTTTAATATAATACAGAATTTGGGTTGTACTAGTTTTCCATTTTCTTTTCAATGATTTAAATACTTTAAATTCTTTATATCTAATTGACTTTATTATGAATCATTGGAAAAATGGTCTTGCTTTGTTTTATTGTTTTATTTTAGAAACTTGGAAAAATACATAATTTGTTACTCGCAAAAATTTGGACAAATAATCTATCGAATGCTTGTTTACTGATTTATTTTAAAAACTTGGAAAAGGTTGCTATTCGCAAACATTTGGACAACTATCAATTGTTTGTTTATTGATTTATTTTTAGAAACTTGGAAAAGGTTGTTTCTCGCAAAAATTTGGACAAATAACCTATCAATTGTTTGTTTAATTGTTTATTTTAGAAATTTGGAAAAATTTGTTACTCGCAAACATTTGGACAAATAACCTATCAACTGTTTGTATTGGTTTTATTTAGAAAATTTGTTACTCGTAAATCTTTGTTGCTTTAAAATAATCTATTTGATTATTATTTTATCAATTTTGGTAATTTGTGTAAATTTCATAATTTATATGTACGTGAATCCTCTGTGATATCTTTTTGACAGGTTTTGAATTAGCATCTTTCGAAACTCATAAATTCCTTTTTTTAATCCCTCGACTTTTGGAATGAAGGAGGTTTTTTATCAATTTTACCATGAGATAATTTTTTCAGAATCAGAAGAAACAGATTTGGAATCAGACTCACTTTCTATAAGAAACAATGCCTTTGTGGCAGGTTTCTCTTGTATCTTTTACCTTTTGAAGTAGATGAGTTTTCAAATTGGGGCTTTTCATCTTTTTCAGGAAATCTCACATAATTTGTGGTGTAATTAGTGATGTGCCGCGCATAGTATGTTACGCATAAGGGTTTAGCTATGTTTTTTATAAACATTAATTTTTTAATAAAACATTTCCAAGAAACAATTAAATATGCCATTCACTTTTTTATTATTATGTACGCATTTATGACATTTCCCTCCATATGATATACATTATGCGCACTATGCGCGAAAAAAAAAAATTTCAGGGTTACTATGAATGGCACATCTCTAGGTGTAATTCATTGCAACCAATGTTGTACACGGGACATTGTATTGGTTTTATTTAGAAAATTTGTTACTCGTAAATCTTTGTTGCTTTAAAATAATCTATTTGATTATTATTTTATCAATTTTGGTAATTTGTGTAAATTTCATAATTTATATGTACGTGAATCCTCTGTGATATCTTTTTGACAGGTTTTGAATTAGCATCTTTCGAAACTCATAAATTCCTTTTTTTAATCCCTCGACTTTTGGAATGAAGGAGGTTTTTTATCAATTTTACCATGAGATAATTTTTTCAGAATCAGAAGAAACAGATTTGGAATCAGACTCACTTTCTATAAGAAACAATGCCTTTGTGGCAGGTTTCTCTTGTATCTTTTACCTTTTGAAGTAGATGAGTTTTCAAATTGGGGCTTTTCATCTTTTTCAGGAAATCTCACATAATTTGTGGTGTAATTAGTGATGTGCCGCGCATAGTATGTTACGCATAAGGGTTTAGCTATGTTTTTTATAAACATTAATTTTTTAATAAAACATTTCCAAGAAACAATTAAATATGCCATTCACTTTTTTATTATTATGTACGCATTTATGACATTTCCCTCCATATGATATACATTATGCGCACTATGCGCGAAAAAAAAAAATTTCAGGGTTACTATGAATGGCACATCTCTAGGTGTAATTCATTGCAACCAATGTTGTACACGGGACATGGCATCTATTTGAATCTAGACCTACCACAAAATCTCATATAACTTTACAAACTAGCCATTTTTCCTTATGCATATAATCTAGGTCCTGGCCAAACTGTCTCTCATATTGAAATTTTAATGTCCCATTCAGCCTCTAAGCTTATTTAAATACCTAATTAATAAAAATAAGCAAATTTAATTTTGCAATTCCATTTTCCACTCATGTATATCAATTATGAATTTGTAACATATCGATCTCCACACATTGTTGTTAATTGATATGTTTTTATCAAGCCACGATTTTAATGGACTGATCCGATTATTTGTTTATTTGATTGGTTCAATGCTAGCAATGCCAAGTATTAGACTTTGCTTAATTAAAAAATTAGTTATTGCGTGTGTGATAATAGAAAAATCAGAATGGTTGCAGAGTTAAAATAATGGCACGTATCCTCGATCATTCGGTCATCTTTGACACATTCATCGTATGTTTCTGATGCATTCAATAACTGATTTATTATATGTCAGAATATGAAACATTCCAGATGGAAATTTAGCGTTGTATATTTGTGTATTTTTAATAATGTGTAACATACCTTTAATTTTTGTAAAAATATCCCACATATCTTTAATTAGAAATGCGTAAATAATAATAATAAAAATAATAATAATAAATAAACAATAGTTATTTATGTTAATTGGTGTATTGATAAATTATTCAAATTAATTCATTGAGTCGCTTGAATATTAAAAATATTTTTTTTAAATCATAAAATATTTCCATTATTTATAAATAATTCTTAACGTGTGCGCATCTACAAAAGTGCGCTTCTTTTTTTTTAAATTGGTTTTTCCTCCTCTTCTCATAATCTATCAATTTATCATCTATCCATCCATCAATCTCACCATTGATTCTTTTTCTGTTGCCAATTCTTTACTTCCCCTCAGGAATTGGCTGTCTACTTTACCTCATTTATTCCACTAATTCACTCGTTCATTCTCAAACCATTGTCACTACATTATCTTTAATTTTATTTGTTCAATAAAAAATACAATGCACCAAAGATATTGTTGTAAATCCGTTACTAAATTTAACAACACCAATATATTAATGTTACACAAATTATGTGTGCATTTTATATAAATATGGGTTACCTTTTTTTAATGAATTTCTTTTCTATCGATTTTTTATCCTTTCTCTCTTCTCCTAAATCATCCATTCGTCTTCATTAACACGCATCTCACCCCATTCTTTTCACTATACACAATTTCTTCGCCTCAGTAATTGGGTGTCCACTTCATTCTTTTTCACTTTATAAATCAATCATAATAGACTTATTCTAAAGAAAAACAAATAATCATAATCAAAATGATTGCTTCTAAAATTTGTTCAATTACCATTGCATTGTATTTGGTTTCATGCTTGTTTTCGGCTGTTTTAGTCGATTCGGCTAAAGTCAAGTGTGATAAAAAAGCTTTAAAGAAAGAATTCAATATAGATAAACAAGAATTTGTGGTCTTGCTTGAACATAATAAAGGATCAACCTCTGCCGCTTCCGATGATTCAGAAAATACGGCAATCCTTAAACAACATTTGAATTTTTTTAAAGACTGCTTGGACATAGATCCTAAACCACTTTTAGATAAAAATGATGGGAAAATTTCCACAAAGAAAACTTCACCGGATACAGTATTGCATTTTTCTGGTGGCAACCTTTTTGGTTATATTGGTTTTTTTAATCCTCGATTAATTGAACAACAAATCAAATCATTACCTAATATTAAATTAGTTGAAAAGGTAACAGAAGTTAAAGCCTTCGCTCCTGTACAAAATAATGGTGGTAGTACAACCGTTAGTACTTCATTTTATGACTTGGATCGTATAGATCAAAGAGATAATAAATTAAATGGAAAATACACTTTTCCTAGTTCAGCTGGTGGAAATGTAAATGTCTACGTGGTTGACACTGGCATAAATTCAAAAAGTAAAACGGAATTTGGCGATCGTGTCAGATTTGGTTTTTTTTGTTCTAAATGTGCTCCAATAGATGATAATGGCCATGGCTCAGCAGTTGCAAGTGTTATTGGTGGTAGCAGTTTCGGTGTAGCGAAAAAAGTTAATCTTATAGCTGTCAAAGTGCTTACTGCATCAGGAACAGGAACTAGTAGTGATGTTATTGCCGGTTTATTATTTGTATTAAATGAACATAGAGCAAACAGGAATAAAAATACAGTTGTTAATATGTCATTGGGTGGCGGATTTTCTCAAGCATTAAACAATGCAGTTCAAACTCTCACAGATGCAGGTATACATGTTATCGTAGCTGCCGGAAATGATGCAATTAATGCTTGTAAGGTCTCACCTGCAAGTACACCATCAGCAATTACAGTGTGCGCAACTGAAAAGACAAGTGATTCAATTACTAATTTCTCAAATTTTGGATCTTGCGTTGACATTTGTGCTCCCGGTAGAAATGTTCCTTCACTTTTCCTTGGCACCATACCTAGAGAATTATCTGGTACAAGCCTCTCATCTCCGCTAGTTGCGGGTGCTGTTGCTTTAAAAATCAGTGCTTTTGGTAATCTTAGTCCTTCAAAAATGGCCGCTAGATTATTTTCTGATAGTACCAAAAATATTATTACAGGATTACCAGCTGGCACACCAAATAGATTTTTATTTGTTTCTCAAAAAAGATGATTAATTGTTATTTTAGAAAACTGAGTTTTTTTTTTATTTTAAATAAAAATTCCCGACCTTTGCAATTTTTTTAGTCCATGCGCTCCTACTTTATTTTGGAAATTAATGATTTTTTTTTATATATATTTACCAAATAACGAATAACTAATACTAAACTGAGTATTAAAAATATTTGTTTCATATACACTAATTAAATTTTCATTTTGCCAGCTAATTCTCTTCGCCCCAAAAATTGGTTATCTACTCATCTCATTCGTTCTTTCTGTTATGATATATGGTGTATAATAAATAATAATTATAGACACAAAATGATTTAATTTCTTCTGAATTTTATCACATTATCTTTA